TGTCAGGCTGAAACAGACACGGGGCCTGTAGGCCCTGGTTTTCAGGCTGTCAGGCTGAAACAGACACGGGGCCTGTAGGCCCTGGTTTTCAGGCTTTCAGCCTGCATTTCAGGCTTTCAGCCTGAGGGACGCAGGGCCTGGAAAATGGCCCTCGTGTGCAGGCGCAGCATGTAACACACCCCCCTCCTTATGAAGTCAAGCCGGGGCGAGGGCGAAGCTGACGATCTGAAGGTGGAACCTGGACGCGGGTGCGGCGTGGAGCCGAAGAGACCGGCTTGCCTTGCATCTTGCGTTCGTAGCGTGCGAGAACGTCTGGAGCTGTTGCTTGAAGTTCCACACGGGTCAACCAACGGTCAGCTCGGTGTGTGCTGTATGCAAAATGTACCAAGTACTCGGTTGGCCTGTTGCCATAGCGTCGCTGGGAGATGATGTCGCCGACCTCCTGAAAGTCGTCCATAGAGGGTGGGTCTTGCGAACGTCTCCCGGGAAAATCGTCATGTTCCGCTGGTGTGTAAAGAGCCAACATGGAGCAATGAAAGACTGGGTAGACGGGCAAATAGTGAAGGAAGGTCCCTCGGGTGCATCCCCAGCGGGTGCCATGATCGGCCAAGGCCCCATCCATTTCGGGAGGAGCTTGCAAGAGATATCTTGTTCAAGGCTGAATTCCGTGGTGGAGACCCAAACAAGATCGCCGACGCGGAATGGACAAGGAAGACGCTGGTGATTGGCCTGTTGGCTCATGCGTTGCTGCGTCTTGGCCATCTGGTCACGTGCCTTGACAAGTAATTCTTGCATCCGACGCAAGAAAAGAAGATGGTCGTCACTCTCGGCCGTTCGTGGAGTAAGTGACCGGCGAGTCGTGCTCGAACTCTAAGGGCGACATCCCAATAGCCGGGTGGATGGAGGAGTTGTAGGCCAACTCGACATCCGGCAGCCGCTCAACCCAATCCTTCTGGTCAGGACGGATGAGAATGCGAAGGAGAACCTGTGCGGTCTGGTGCGCCCTCTCCGTTTGGCCATCGGTCTGGGGGTGGCGAGCTGAACTGGGCTTGAGAGATGAGCCCCATCGCTTGATGAGCGCCAACCAAAAATCGGACATGAACCGAGTGTCGCGGTCGCAAACGATTTCCTTGGGGTAACCCTTGGTTCGAATCCAACCGGCGTAGAGAACCTCGGCCAACTTTGGTGCCTTGGATGATAACTGCAAGGCAAAAACATGGCGAACTTGGTGAGTCCGTCGACCATCGTGAGAATTCCATCCACGCCGGTCTTGTGCTTGGGGAACAGGCCGGTAATGCCCATGGCAATCACTTCCCGTCGCCTCAAAGGGACCGGTAATGGTCGTAACTCCCGTACAGACGATGGTTGCGGGATTTGCAGCGTCGACAAACCTCGCATGACTCACAATAGCGTGTGACGTCGCTGCGAAGGCTGGGCCACCAAAATCGCTCGCGAAGTCGGCCAATCGTGCGATTGACTCCAAAGTGTCCGGTGGCGAGAGCATCGTGGAATTCGCCAAGAAGCAGTGTACGCAAGTGAGGATCACGCGGTACGCAAAGAAGGTGCTTCCCCCGCGTCTGGACAAGCAAGTACCCCCCTTGGATCCGGTAGTGAGAAGGCGCCGGATTAGGAAAGGAGCAATTTGCGTACTTGTCGCAAAACTCGGGGTCGACTTGGTAGCCGCGGATGAAGTTGTTCCACAAGTCGTCGTTAATCTCAAAAGTTGAGTAGACTGCGGTACAATGGTCCGAACGTCGTGAAAGAGCATCCACAAAACGGTTTGACTTGCCCGGAATGTGGTCAGGGAAAAGGTCAAAACTGGTCGATGAACGCCATCCAACTGCCAATGGTGCTATTGACCGTGTCTTGGGTCTTGTAGAAGACCAATGGATTGTTATCCGTTACCCATCGAAACTGCCGTCGACCCCACTTTGTTTTCAACTGAGAAAACAACGTTCGACTTGCATGTGTTAAGCATATCGCTAGCGTTCATTCTGAGCCAGGATCAAACTCTGTTTTTTTATTATGGCTTAATTTATGGAATGTAGGATTTGAACCTACAACAATGAGTTTACCAGTTCCAGTCAATCCAATCTTAGTTAGTCCGCTAGTTGAATTACCAATTGAACATAACAAGGTGTAGCGCAGTCTGGTAGCGCATCTGTTTTGGGTACAGAGGGTCATAGRTTCGAATCCTGTCACCTTGAGTCAAAATCAGAGTAAATTGACATGAAAATCAATCGACCATTATCACCTCATATTACTATTTATAAGCCACAATTAACTTCTACTTTCTCTATTTTTCATAGAATTTGTGGTGCTTTTTTAGCTACTACTGTTTCATTTAGTATTCTTTTTGTCAAAATTTGTGAACTTAGTCTGACTTTTTATCACTTTTATTTGTTTGTTTTTTACGTCATTTGTTATTTTAATTGGTTAATCTTCAGTTTGTTCAATTTAGCTTTCTTAGCACTATGCTATCATATGAGCAACATAATTCGACATTTATTGTGGGATTTAGGGCACAGCTTAGATTTATCAAAAGTGGAAGAATTAAAATATAACATTATTTTGCCTCACAGGCGGAAGGGAAGAGCCTGGTAGAGCACACCGCCGCTCTCGCGACGGATGCCGCCAGCGCTTGAGCGCATGTACGAAGGCCAATAATTTTGTCTTCCATGCGTCATCAATCGAGTGCACGGCGACACTTTCTTGCTAAAGTATTTGATCGGGTGCCAGTCCCCGCCGTCATGTTGCTCGAGGACGGCACCAATGCCATAGCCGAACGCATCGGTAGTGACACGTGTCGACAAAAGCGGATCGTAGATGCGCAACACCTCTACGGATAGCAATGTGGCTTTGAGAGCCAAAAATGAAGTCCGCGCATGGTCGTCGAAGTCGAATGGCCGGTCCTCGCATTGAAGCTTGGATAAAGGAGCCGCGATCTTCGAGTAACCCTTGATGAAGCGTTGATAGTAGCCGACCAAGCCAAGGAAGGAACGGACATTTGTAACGGTCTTCGACTCCGGCCACTCTTGGATGGCTTGAATCTTGTCCGACAACGGACTGATGCCAAAATGGCCCAAGTATTCTAGCTCTTGCGGACAAATTCACACTTGTCGCGGTTGGCTTTGTATTTGGCGCGACGGAGCGTCTCCAAAACTCGTCTAAGGTGCTCAAGATGATCCTCCAATGTCGGGCTATAGATGAGGATGTCGTCTAAGTAGACTAGTACGAACCGATCCAGCATCGCACAGAACTCGTTGGTCATTGCCGCTTGAAAGGTCGCCGGGGCATTGGTGAGGCCAAAATGCATAACGGTCCACTCAAAATGCCCGTACCGCGTCTTGAGCGCGGATTTGTAGCAATCTTGCGGGCGTATCGAGATTTGATGGTAGCCCGACTTCAAGTCCAACTTTGAGAAGAATTTCGCGCCGCCCAAACGCTCGAGAAGGTCGTCAATCCACGGAAGAGGTCCCGCATTCTTGACGGTTTGTGCGTTGAGCTTCCGGTAGTCGATGCACAAGCGAAGATCCTTGTTCTTCTTCCGTACGAAGAGAACTGGTGCACCGTATGGTGAGCTACTAGGGCGGATCCAGCCCGTGTCCAAAAGATCGTCGAGTTGAGCGCGGAGAACCTCAAGCTCTTCCTCACTCATGCGATAGATGCATCCTTTCGGCGGCACGACACCGGCCTCAAGAATGATCTCGTGGGAGATCGGCCGATCCGGCACCACACCGATAGGAGACTCGAAGATGTCGATGAACTCGTCGAGCAGCCGCGCCATTCGGGGGTCCGAAGACAAGTCCGTAGGTGAAGATTCGGTCGTCGCGGCGGCTCGTAGAAAACATAGGCCTATCACGTCGGTCCGCTCGTAAGCGCAAGTGGCCCGAAAGACTTGGCCGTTACAACTTGGCACCGAATCCAGGAGTGCGGAAAAGGAATGGTACACGACACCTCGGCGCCGAAGGCATCGTCAACGGTAAGTGCCCGCTGATGGAAGTTAGCCGTGTGATCTGCACTTGCAAGCCAAGGCATCCCCAATATAATGTCGAAGTCTGTGTCCAAGACGTCAAACGTCACCTTCGCAGGCATGACGTGTGAAATAAACCGGCACGGCTTCAATGTAGCGATCGAGGAGTTGTTGCGTCCGACCGTCCGCCAACTTGATCGTTGTCGGGTTTGGCTTCCTTTGAACTTGAGGCCGTCCCTTTGGATAAAGGACTGGCTAATGAAATTGCGAGTCGCGTCGCTATCCAGCAAAGCGCTGCAGGACGGTTGCCCAACTTGGATGCGGACATAAAGGAGCGGTGCGTTGCTATCATTGTACCGCTACATGCGAAACTCGCGGGCCACCTTGGTAACATACGCAAGGATGTCCCCCCCACCACAGCTTCGTCATCCGTCAGCGAAGATGGTGGTGCATAGAAGGCTAAGTATGTGTGGAGATGGGCGCATAGTGCTGCGCATTGCAGTCCCGGCAAGCAGCCTGTGGAAGGGAGAGGAAGCCATGCAAAATCCTTGGACGTCAACGGGTCCAAGACCTCTATGTTGAACTCGTGCGTCGAATCCCTTGAAGAACCACTTGAAAACGATCCATTGTTGTTGTTGTCGGACGGAGAAGAAGCCACACACTTCTTGTCCTTGAGCTTGAGAACCCAACGAAGGAACGAGCCGGGCAGCATAGTCCTCATAAGAAAACAAGAGAGGACTGTCGACTTTTGCATGTGCCTCGGAATGAAGAGAGGTCGCTCACGAAGCAACCGATTCTGAAGGCGTCGAGAGTGCAGCCGCATCACTCTCGGCGGTGCTCACTTTCCTAAAGGGGATTTGGCTTGGACCGGTGTGGGCCACTTTGCGGTGTCGTAACCGCTGTTGCACCACAAGCAGTATCGGTACTTAGACCGGATGCGGTACACGCCTTCCGAGATACCGTTGTCGATGCGAATACCCTTACAAGGGTATCCGCCCTGGTTTTTGCAGATGACAGGATTAATGGGTTTGGTCAGAATAAGCCGTGCGAGACGCGGGCTGCGCCCGAGATCCACCTTGGCAAAGTTAAGGGGTATGTGGGCGCGCAGTTTAAGGCGCGCGTGTGATTTTTCTGATTGAGTGAGCGGCCGGTCTAGTCGACCGACCTGGACCATGCTACGACTTTGATTAAGGGATAGAGGCTTGTTTTTCTGGTCGGCACACGCCACCGACGGTAGCACTGGCATGTCGGCGGGCGCACGGGGCGGCCACGGTGGGGTCCAAGTAAGCCGGCGCGGGTGCCGGGTGTTGGCGCGCCGGTTGCAGGTAGGAAAAGAGGGCCTCGGCTGTCTTTTCCGGGCCTGGGCGGCGTGCGACACCACATCATATTGAAGTTTGCGCCTGACTGTTCCAAGTTGGGGCATAGCCCTATAGGTTACGGTGTTGGACTACTACTACGGGGACTCAGGGATCAAGGCCAACGGGCGTCGGCGCAGCAGCGACAGAGCATCGTGGAGGAAGCTGAGGGGGTTGAGGGCCCGACGGGGCTATCCCCCCTCGGTTTTGCTAATAGGGGCGGCGACAGACCGTGGACCGGTGGGGTTTTAGTAGTTCCCGCACCCTGCTTAAGGATTCCCGTTCATGCTTTTTTTATTTTATTTTTGCTTTCTTTGTTTTATTATTCATGGGTCGTTCTGGCCTGGGGCGTGGCACTGCGGCTGGCGGTCTGAGACTTGAAGAGCCGCGGGCGGGGTATCACCGCAGCCGGGTCCTTCGGGATATCTGTTAAAATTGGAACGATAGATTCGCATAGCGCCTGCACAAGGACGGCGTGGATGGGGCACGGAGAAGCCGAGGCGCTCTGGCTGGTTGCTTCCGCTGCCTTGGTTCGGAAGAAGGCGGGCGCATGCAACAGTGGTGGCGAGCGCTAGGCCAGCGTGACGGTTTCAACAGCGGGAGATAAGAGGGCGAGTGAACCAGGACGGGGTCTGGGGCCAGGGGTATGCCGGAGGTGAGTGCACTATGGCGGTACGAGCGGGGGTGCACCGCGAACCCCCGAGGCCCGATAGGCCGAAGTCCCCTGGGGTGACGGGGAAGGGGGAGGACGGTACGATCCCCCGCGCGGAGGGGAGGAGATAAAACCGGGGGAGCCGACAGCCGCGCGTTTGGTTCTTGGCAGTCGACGACTGTTAGACCATTTGCTCGGCGCCCGGGGTGCTTGTGACTACGCCGTGGGGGTGTTGGCGGTTGACGACAATGCGATGGTGAAGGAGAATGGATTTGGACTAGAGAGCGAGCCGGGTACGTGTAGGTGAGACGGAGTAGTGGGGGGAGAGAGGCGATAGACGAAGCAGCTAAGGCCAGAGGGGTGACAAGCGGTGGTACGAGGTAGCCAGGTCGTGGATGGAGGGACGAGACAACAAGGAGGGAGCGGGCGAGCGTAGCGGAGTGACCGGCGCCGGGTGAGTGAATCGTAACGGAATCGAGCCGGGAAAGTGGCTATTTGGGGGGTTTGTGGGCATGCGAGTGGGATAACCGGGCTAGATTCGATGTTAGAGTTAGCAACTAGGTGCTAGAAGAGAAAAGGGGGTGCGCTGAGCTATGGCCGGCGTGGAAGAGAACGAGGGGAGAAATGCTGA